GCATATCTCAAAGCCAATGATGGGGGGAGTCAGCCATTTGAGATGGCTCATGGGAAGGACTTGTGGAGGTATTGTGCAGCCAATTCGTCGCATAATAAGGTGATGAATGAGGGCATGGCTTCCTTTGCTCGGGTGGTTATTGTGCCGGCTGTATTGGAAAGGTGTGGAGGGGTTTTTGAGGGAGTTGGAAGTTTGGTGGATGTTGGAGGAGGAAATGGGAGTTGTTTGAGTGTTTTGGTGAAGGCTTTTCCTTGGATTAGAGGTATTAATTTTGATCTTCCACATGTTGTGTCTGTTTCACAAGAGTACGAGGGTGTTCGACATGTTGGTGGGAATATGTTCGATTTTGTCCCGAAGGCTGATGCTGCTTTCATCATGGTTTGTGCTTTATTTGTGTCTTTTAACACGTCTCTCTCATAGATTCTTAAGTCTCTAAAATTTTAACTCACGGTTTCTTTACTGTCGTTTTCATCTTTCTTACAAAAATATTTTTGTTATTTTCAAATTTTAGAATTGAATTTTGATGACGTTATAAAGTGGATAACGAAAGAAAAGTGAGTTTTCAAAAAGTCAAACAGTTAACAAATACGACTTAACCTACGTGTAACAGTCCAAGACCACCACTATCTGACATTGTCCAGCTTTCTCTTCTGAACTTTCCCTCAAGGTTTTTAAAATGCGTCAGTTAGGGAGAGGTTTCGACACCCTTGTAAAAAATATTGTGTTTTTCTCTCCAACCCATGTGAGATTTCACAATCCAGCCCCTTCGAGGCACAGCGTCCTTTCTGACACTCGTTCCCCTCTTCTAGAAAAAATGATAGTTATGGAACTCTATCAGATATACCGATTTGCTTCAGTGAAAAATTTGGCAGAAAAACCCCTGATATTGTGAGAACCACCTCCGAAACCCAAGATGAACGAAAGAGATTCCTTAGCAGAAAGGAGCTAATATAGCGTTCAAGGACCTTTCACTTCCCTTTCTACTCTTGTGCGGTATCGTCGAGCTAGGCATTATGCTTGATAGGGTCATGTTACGTTGTTGTAGTCTGACTACTATGCATGGTGCATCCATCTTATGGGATTTCAGGTTCGATGGTGTCGAGAAGGTATTAGCCCGCCCAAAGTTTCCTCCCAATTTCATTCATTTAATATCTCTATGGTGTCATTGAGATAAAAGTGGGATCTCACGCTATGACATTCGAGTAAAAGATAAATACATGAATGAACCAAGACAACAATCGAATGAGAGCAATTCCGAAGATAGAATAGTTAAGAAATGATTAAAAGAACTGAAAGTTACTGTCTATATTACTAACAAAATGCATCTTCTTTTTCAGTTCCTCGTCAACAACAGTCATACTATATTACAAACATTTTAAAACTTTGAGGACCCAAATAGAACAAACTTAAAAATTTCCGGACGATTAAACATTTTAAGAGTTCAAAAACCAAAATACGATTAAAACGTAAGCTTAACAACAAAAACCTACTATTTCTATCGTTTCGAGGTTCATTTATAATAGGATTACAAATATAAACCATTTGACTTTTGAGTTTGAACGTTATTGCAGAATGCTCTACACGATTGGGACGACGAAGATTGCATCAAAATTTTGAAGAATTGCAAAGAAGCGATCCCCGAAAAAACAGGTAAAGTGATCATTGTTGAAGTGGTCATTGACGAAAAGGACGAAAGCATGGTGTCCGATATAAGGTTGATGTTGGATATGATAATGATGGCTCATACTATCAAGGGAAAAGAAAGAACTCGAGAGGAATGGGCATATGTTCTTCAGCAGGCTGGTTTTAGTCGACATACCATCACTCCTACTTCTACTATCCAATCTATCATTCAAGGTTTCGTTTGATATCCATCCAAGAACACGAAATCAAGTTTATCCGTTTAATCTGTCTTTTCAGTACAACAAGTGGGACTCTCGAGCTCTCGAGAGATTTAAGCCCTCAACTTCGTAAGAAAGTAATTACTATTGAGTTATTTTTGTATTGACACTCGAGTTTATAGGGTATTGCTTCTATTTCGCATATATTTCGTCTTTAGTTTATCTTGTAAAAGCTTGTAACGATGATTCGAAAAATAAGAGTGGTCATGCTTTAAATATCCTATTTCGTTTGGAGTAATATTTTGACATACCATAATGCATGAAATATCATAAACGCATGAGAATTGTTAAAATGTATAAAGATATAGTTTAGATTTAAAAGAATGTTACAAAATTTTATGACGGGTACATTTTTTGTATTAGAGTTCGTGCGTCTTAGACTAAGCTTATGTGCGTATTAAAAAACGTTCGAAAGAATATGTACATGTATGTCAATCTAGCATAATTTTTAATTGATTAAAGAGCATGTTCTCGACTAGCCCGTAAAATGTTGGAATGTTACTCTCACGAGCATAACCCATTTAAATATATCATCCGAACTATAGTAAATTAGGGTTTAGTTGCAAGAGGAAAAAACTTGAGAGGTCATGCTTAACGACGTAGATAGAACTATTATATGTTATAGATGAGAACCGTCTATCGTCACTTCAATGATTATCTCTAAATTTTTATTTATTTATTTTTTTAATATATCTATTAATTCCTCTACTTAAAAAAATGTTTTTTAAAAACCCATTAACGTTTATTCAATTTTTTTAGTGTTAGTTTTTTTCTTTTTCCAAAAAGACCCATTAACATTTCAAAAGGCTTGTCTTTTTTCAGTACTTTTTTAAAAATATTAAAAAAAAATTTGGCAAAAGTTTATTCAAATAAATTAATGCTATACCTAAATGCCATTAATTAAGACCGTCATATTTGAAGATATATTTTAATAATTAGTTATGATATATTTTAATAATTACTTAAGAGTATATCTGAGATATTTTAGGAGTTGTTAGTAGCATCATTTATTTACCAGATTTAGTTATATATTTTTACTGTTCTTAGATATTAGTTGATAGTTTATCTATCATTTAAACGTGGTAAACATGAATGAAGATCATACTTTCGATTCTAATTCTATTCCTCGTTCTTAACTAAACTCTATAGTTTTAAAAGCTGTACCCATTTACTTTTTTTTTTTTTTAATTACGAATTTATGAAAACCTATAATCTTACAAGTTCGTACATTTATAATAATAATAATAAATAAATAAATATCGTGGTTGGAGATTGAGATGGAGAATAAAATCTACATCCTCATTTTACTACAGGAGAAACTCTCCCCGCTCCCTCCCTCTTTTTCTAGATAAACCGGAGTAGCAAGCTAAATGGATATATCTATTTTAAACTCAATATTTTTGCTTAATTATTTTTTTTATTTTTTTTATTTTCAGACTAACAATCAAGCAACAATATCGAACCAAAGTGCAAACAGATCGATAGGGCATTTATCTTGAGCATGCATAAAAAATAAAAAAAGATTGTTCCGTTTATAACGACTTATGTCCAAGATTTGAAATTCATATTCGGCACTTGATGCCCCTGGCATTCCCCTGCATTCCGTGTGACATGATCACTTTGTCTATACTCTTCCCTTCTTAAGAGTGAAGACTATCCCCTATAAACCAACACGTGCATTCCAAGAAAATTCTTAAAAGATCACCCAACATAGAACTGTTTAAGTAAAGCACGCTTAACCATGAAGTTCCTATAATTGAGTCACAAAAATTGAGTCAGGTGCACATTATTGGTATATATAATAACTTTCAATTTTTTAGCTGTCCACTCATATGAGTGTTTTATAATTGTCTAGATTGAAATAGTTTTTTTTTTTTTTTTTTTTTTTGAGAAAAATATTAATTTTAAAATTAAAAAAAGCGTCTATATGTCAACTCAGCAATGAAATAAATATAATAAATGTCGATTATCATTATTTCACTACATACCCTAAACCCTATTACTATTTTAATCGAATTTCAATGACCAAAAATATATTATTTTCATAATTTCAGTATTTAGATATTTTTTTAAAAATATTATCATAAATTAGTATTAAAGAATTTACACATGGTGCATGGAATTTTGTTAAAATTTTATAAATATAAATAAAATCAGCGTTTTAAAAGCATAGAAAAAGATTAAAAATAAACCAAATTGAAACTAATATAAAATATAAACCTACACCAGTAGAAATCATTTTAATTGAATTATTTATGTATAATAAAGATGATTTATGATTGATTTTAATTTATGATAATAGGTAGAGATGCTCATAGGGGCGAAGACGTGGACGTCTTTCCATCTTCATTCTTATTTTTAATTCTTATTTCTACTAAAATTTTCATTTATTTTTGTAGACGAACAATGGTTAAGGTTGGATTCCCTACCACAACTTTTTCTCTATTTTTTATATAATTTTTTTAGAATATATTTTATTTTTAATATAATTTTTATTTAAAAATAAATAAAATATCATAATAAATTCAATAATATTAAAAACAAAACATAATATAATGTACACTCAATGAGATCCCATATCCGTTGGGAGGTGAACGAAATATATTTTAGAAGAGCGTGGAAACCTCTTCTTGATAGACTCATTTTAAAAACCTTAAGAGGAAGCTCTAAAGAGAAAATCCAAATAGGACAACATCTACTGACAGTGGACTTGGACTATTACAGTTGGTATCAGAACCAGACACCGGACGATGTTACAGTTGGTATCAAAACTAGACACCAGGCGATGTTACAACTGGTATCAGAGTCAGACACTAGGCGATGTGCCAACAAGGACGCTTCCTCGAAGGGGATGGATTGTGGGGGGTCTCACATCGATTGGAGAAGGGAACAAGCGTCAACGAGGACACTAAACTCCGAAGGGGGTGAATTGTGAGATCAGAAAGCCCAAGAAATGCAATATCTGCTATCATTGGACTCGGACTGATGCTGGGTCTCGAAGAGGATAGATTGTGAGATTGGAAAGTCCAAAGTGGAAAAAACCTAAAAAAGACAACGACCGCTAGAGACGTACTTAAAGCTAGGGGTTACAAAGCCCATTTGCTCAAAGCCTTCACACATATATAATATGCATGTATAGAATCATATTGTATTAAGAACTGGGAAGACATTCAAGTAAGAGATAATATCACATCAATGGAAATTACGCCAAAGGAACCTTCCTGGAAGAGAGAAGAAGAAGAAGAAGAAGAGGCAAAGATCCAAATATACAAATACGTATTTGGGTTCGCAGAAGCAGCAGTAATCAAATGCGCCATAGAGCTTAAAATCCCTGATGCCATTGGAAGCCATGGAAGCCCCATGACGCTATCACAGCTCTCCTCTGCTTTAAACTGCTCTCCACCACTTTTATTCCGCATCTTGCGCTTCCTCGTCCACCGCGGCATCTTCAAACAACAAACCACCGCTGAAGGCCCCATAGCCTATTCCCAAACGCCATTGTCCCGCATGCTCACGACCATGGCTCCCTTGCTTCTGCTAGAGAACAGCCCCACAATGGTCGCACCATGGCATAATCTAAGTGCTAAGGTCAAGGCCGATGCGGCGGGTCATAGTAATCTATTTGAAGCAGCTCATGGTAAGGACATTTGGAGCTATGCTGCAGCAAATCCAGCATTCAACGTGCTGTTTAATGAGGGATTGGGTTGTAATGCTAGAGTGGTTACTTTGCCTGCAATACTTGGAAGTTGTAGAGATATGTTTAATGGGGTTGGGAGTTTGGTGGATGTGGGAGGAGGTAATGGGACTACTTTGAGCGTTTTGGTAAAGGCTTGCCCATGGATGAAAGGTATTAACTTTGATCTTCCAAATGTTGTGAACACTTCACAAGAATACGAGGGTGTGCAACATGTTGGTGGCAGTATGTTTGATTATGTCCCCAAGGCTGATGCTGCTTTCTTCATGGTAAGTATAGCTTGTAGTTTGTAGTTATGTATATAATAGCTCAAGTCTACCGCTAGTAGATATTATCCTCCTTTTCTTTTTCCTTCCAAGCTTTCCAATCAAGGTTTTTAAAATGTGTTTGCTCTGTTTCCACACCCTTGTTAAGAATATTTTGTTCTACTCCCTAACATATGTGGGATCTCACAATCGGTTGGGGAGGAGGACGAAGCATTTTTTATAAGGGTGAGGAAATAGAGAAGATGCGTTCTAAAAACTTTGAGGGCAAGCCCAAAAAAGACAATATCTGCTAGCAGTGAGGTTAGTCGGTTACAAATGGTATCAGAGTCAGACATCAGACGATGTACCAATGAGTAGGCTGAGCCTCGAAGGGGGTGGACATGAGGCAGTGTGCCAAAGACGTTGGGCCCTAAAGGGGGGTGGATTATGAGATCCACATCAGTTGGGGAAGAGAACGAAACATTTTTCATAAGGGTATAGAAAGTGAAACTCAAATAAAACAATATCTATTAACAGTGGGGTTAGGCTTAGGCTTAAGCTGTTACTATATATATATATATTAAGCTAGGCCTATATTATATATTAAGCTGGTTTGATAACATTTTTATTTCTTGATTTTCTTTTAACATGAAATGAATTGCAGTGGATTCTACATGCTTGGGATGATGAAGAGTGCATCAAAATTTTGAAGAACTGCAAGGAAGCTATTCCAGAAAATACAGGAAAAGTGATGATTGTAGATACAGTGATTGATGAAAAAGAGGAAAATAAGTTGCTTATGGATATAAGGTTAACTTTAGATATCATGTTGATGACTCGTTTTCGAAAGGGAAGAGAAAGAACAGGTGAAGAATGGGCAAACCTACTTAAGAAGGCTGGTTTTAGTCGATGCATAATTACACCCATTGTTGGAGTTGTTCCATCAATCATTCAAGCTTTTATTTCATAAACAACAAAATGGGATTTTAGTACTTTTGGGCTATGGCTTCTTTCATGTACTTTGGTTTCTAAAATAAATGGGTATCCTAGGTCGAAGTTTACGTTGATGTGTTAGACAATAAATAAAATAACTATTCATATTCTCTTCATATCTAAAATTTTCTCTCAAAACTGTAACAAGCTCAAGCTTATCGCTAATAGATATGGTCTTTTTTAGGTTTTTTCCTCACGATTTTAAAACTTATCCGATAAGGAGAAGTTTCCACACTCTTATAAGGAATGTTTTGTTCCCCTTTCCAACCGATGTGGGATCTCACAAAAACGTTCCTTTTTTCCCTTCCCTTTTCTTGATTTTTCTTCTATCCTCACTCGACTACTAGTAATTTGCACGATAAATCTTTGTGGTTTCTCTATATAGCTCCAAATACTTGATTCCTACCAAACAAACAAAAAGTGTAAAATTGACTAATTAAGCATGAAAACCAGTAAGAAATAAGCCTTAGAAATGGCTCCAAATGTGACTTAGTTCCAAGTTTCAATCACTAATATCCCTATAAGAATGCCTTCAAACAGAGTTTTATCTCCAAACTTTTCCACTACAACAGCTCTTACGCTTAGTAGTTTAACTTCTGTCTACTAGTCAAACGTACGAATCCAAATCACTTAAGGGTACCCTAACTTAGTCTACTGGTCAAACATACGAATTCAGATCATTTAAGGGTACCCTAATTTATGGAGGTAGCTCTTTCTATTAAAAGATTAAGAGCTAGCAAGACTATACTTCAAACTGCAAATATTTGTTCATATTCTCCATTAATAACTTAATGATTAACAAATTGCTCAAGACTGACCTCCCCTGCTCCAAAGTTCATTTCTGTAAAGATTGCAAGAATCTACCCTGACAGAGCAAATTAACAACAAAATGAGAGTTTGTTGACAATTATAAAATTAGAACTATCATTTAACTCATAAAATACCTGCATAAAGCATCAGTTGGATTTCTTTGTATTGTTAGCTGTGTTTTCAGGTAGCGTGAAAAGCGCAGAGAGCTTGTGTTGGTTGATGATTAAGCTCAAAACGGCTGTGTTTGCAGCCAAGAACAAGATGCTTGCCATCCACAGTTGAATCAACACATTCTTTCCCTTGAACTCCAGCAAATAACCCCACATCAGCCAGTGAAGCTGTGCTCCCGTCCAGATCGATATCGATAACAGACCTTTCCATTTGAACTTCATCTTACTCCAAGGAAGAATCAAAGGTAGAAGACAGAAGAACCAGACAAAATATTGTGCTGTGATCACCTGTTGATCAAAAACTCTCAAAAAAGTACAAATGTTCGAACCATAGTTTTAGATTGGTGTCAAGAAACACAGTTCTAGCAGAATTAACTCGAAAAAAAACCATCTATCAACAGGAATCATAGCTCTAGCTCTAACATTTTTGGATCAGAAACAGATTTCAGTGCAAACCTTGTTGAATGCCACAAATGCTACAGTCTGTGCAAACCAGCAGAATGCGAGGTCTTGAGAAAACGAAAAAACGAGAACGAGCTGCACTACCAACTGGGGCAGAAATGAAATGAGCTTCTCCACGACCGAGAACTCGTGTTCATGGTGCAGATAGATGTGGTAGAAATAAATAGAGAAATTGTGCCTTGGGTCAGTACGTGTAAGATGATAGAGCAGCGCCTCGTGCAGAAATTCCCAACCATATAGATAATAGAACAATCCAGTGCAGAAAGTGAAAATCGAACTGGAAATGAGGCCAAAAAGTATTCTTTCCTTCGTCATCATGGTTCTTATAAGAAACCATGGACTAAAACTATGAGCCAACCTCAATCCTAACTTGCTCTGAGGAGCCTCTTCATCACGCTGACTCCATTTCTGAAGAGCGGGGCTCTGATCAGATTTGAATAGATTTGGATTGAGAATCAGAAGAATTGGAAGGGCATAGATGATCGGGTAGATTCTGAAATGGACGACAAGTCCATACCAAAATGCAGCTTGTAGCAACTGGCCTGTTACAGGAAAAGAGAGTTATACTAGACTACAGATGGGTAATCTACTAACAAACGCACGAATATCCCAGTAAACAGCTACATCCCACGATCTAAACAGTAATTTTTCTAGGCTACTGCATATTTCCATCAATTATATACACTACATGGCAAAGTTCTTTTTTTTTCCTTAATTTTAGTTTCACAGCATCCGAAGTAAAGATGTAACAGTCCAAGCCCACTGCTAGCAGATATTGTCTACTTTTGCCTGTTAGTATCGCCGTCAGCCTCACAATTTTGAAACACGTCTGGGGACAGGTTTCCACACATTTATAAAAAATGTTTCGTTTCCTCTCCAACCAATGTGGGATCTCACAATCCACCTCCTTAGGAGAGGAGCGTCCTCGCTGGCACACCATTGGGAATCTGGCTCTAATACCATTTGTTATAGCCCAAACCCACCGCTAGCAAATATTGTCCGCTTTGGCCTGTTAGTAGTGCCGTCAGCCTCACGGTTTTAAAATGTGTCTGCTAGAGAGAGGTTTCCACACCCTTATAAGGAATGTTTCGTTCCCCTCTCCAACCAATGTGGGATCTCACAATCCACCCCCTTGGGAGTCTAGCGTCCTCGTTGGCACACCGTTTGGAACCTAACTCTGATGTCATTTGTAACAATTTAAGCCCACTACTAACAAACATTGTCTGCTTTACCCAGTTAGTATAGCCATCAGCCTCACAGTTTTGAAACGTGTCTGCTAGGGATAAGTTTCCACACACTTATAAGGAATGCTTCATTCCCTTCTCCAACCAATAGAATCTCACAAAAGAATTCGAACATCTGACCTCATAGTATATGTATTGCCTCAACGAATTGAGTCATACTCAAATTGACACTAAATGACTAAGTCACTTGTTATGCAAATAAGTTTGAAAATTAGCCCAACTTGTCATGTTAACTCCTACCTATTCTTCCAAACTACAACTTTGACGAATTAATTTTAGCAACTTCACATAATTGACACAGTTCCATCTGTAACTGAGAGAGAAAAGAAACTTACACCGTTCATCAGACACAAAAGGATCTTCAGAACCATTGCACAAACAAGAGGCTCGCAGTTTCCTCTGGTGCCAATAGTAAACGTAAACGGGTTAAAAAGCCAAACCATAACAGAACCAATGCACAAATTCTCTGGAACACCACGTTTCTTCAAAATGGTACGTATAAAGAAGCCGACGAGCAAATCTAGACAGAATCAAGACAACCGATTCAGAAACCAACAGAAAATCATAATTCAACGAATCGAATGAAAAGGTGAAGGTACCTGACGCTGAAAATAGAAATTTTCCCCAACAGCGATGGAAGATAGAGTTCGGTATGAGCAAAAATGCGAGCAACGGTGAGTATCTGTAAGTGGATCTCAGATAAGGGGACTTTCCGGACGCCATTAGAGAAGCAGCGTCTGAGAATACGATGTAATCGACATCAGTATATCTAACCTCCATGTGCGCATCCTGCCACTCACCGTAGATGATAAGTACCGACCTGAAGATCGCTGAGAGAGTCAGCAGGGAGCCGAAGCTAAAGGACGTCATTGCTGTGCTGCAAACAAAAATGGCCGACGAAACACGGGACGACGCGAGGAAATGGGGGAGACGAAAGAGGCCTTGGGCCTCTAAGGAAATTGAAGCCCATGGGCCACGGGTATTGGGCCCAGCAATCTGGGCCCAACCACTTCCGAGGAATGTAAGATCTTTTCCAAACTATATTTCTTAAAACGTCAGTTTTTATGAAAATATTTAAAGATTGTATTAATTATCTAACATTATTTTAATTAATTTCTTTTTATTATAATATAACTACTCTTCGGGGCCAGCGTCCTCGCTGGCACCCATTCTCCTCTCCAACTGATGTACGATCTCACAATCCACCTTCTCCGAGGCCAGCATCCTCGCTGGCACTCGTTTCCCACTTCAACCAATGTAAGATCTCACAATCCACCCCTCTAGATATTGTTCTTTTTGGGCACTTCGTTCCTTTCTCTAACCGATGTGGGATCTCATAATCTACCTCGTTCAGGGCCAGCATCCTCGCTAGCACTCGTTCCTCTCTCCAACCGATATGGGATCTCACAATCCATCCTCTTTTAGGGCCAACGTCCTCACTCGCACTCATTCCTCTCTCCAATCAACGTGGGATCTCACAATTCACCCCCCTTCGGGGCCCAACATCCTCAAGAGCACACCACCCGGTGTCTAGCTCTGAAATCATTTGTAACAACTCAATCCCACCGCCAACAGACATTTACCCTCTTTGAACTTTTCCTTTCGAGCCTCCCCTCGAAGTTTTTAAAATATGTCTTATAGGAAGAGGTTTTCACACCCTTATAAAGAATGTTTCGTTTCCCTCCTCAATCGACATGGGATCTCAAATATAAATTCACAATCTTTCCCCTTAATTAGCTAACGTGGAACTCCTCTCCCACGTTCCACGTTGCCTTGACTTGAGAGATTGCAAAAGCATTCGGGATGAAGCGCTTCGAGCTATCGAGACTATTCCAAAACCGAAAGACATTACTTTTGGACATGTCCAATATGAGTGATTACGACCTCACTAGTCTCCTTGTTTGTTAGAAGTTGCAAGAAGCTCGTCTTATGCTGCAGTTTTGCAATCGACTAGAAGCAAGTTTGCGATATCCTATGCATCAACGTACACTCATTGGTGATGTCTCGGTCATGGCCTTAGCCTCCATGCAAGGAGTTGGGAGCCAACTGGTTCGATATCTCAAACATGGTCGATGCACCACTACGACGAGGTGGATGAATTTGAACCGTGGCTCTTTGATGGCGAGGTTAAGATCAAGGACAATGATGATGTGACAGATGCTAAAAATGATGCAGCGCTAATCCTATAATTTTTTTTAAATGAGTCCCTAGCCTTTAATAACGGTCTCGTAATTCTTTAAACTTTTAATTTTGAACCTAATAAACACTTAAATTTTAAATTTGTTTCTTCTAGATTCTGGCTTTTTCGTTTTAATTCGAATTTATTATACACAAAATTTAAATTTATATTTGATAAATAAATTAATTTTTAAAATATTTCTATAGTTA